GAAATAAAACAGTGAATGCGATTTCGAATTCTGCTGATCATTTTGCGTCGTTTTGTGTTCCACAGATTCTTCCCTACAGTCTAGTAAGATGCCATTCTACCTGTCCATTTTCCTATCTGGCAATTCCGTCTCCTTAATGCCTGTGGAGGAAGCAGCAGCATTGACCAAAGTGATATATAAACCCCTTGTCTGCGATTGCAGTGAGCCAACTGTTTTTGGTGCGAGGCGACATCCCCTTTACTGTTCAATCGCTCGCGAACTTCCCACTAACTGGTTGATAAATAGAAAACTATGTTCATGGTATATATATTACACTTCCATCCGCAACCGGAGTCCATCCAACTGCTGGCAAGACACAATACCAATACTAATCTTCCTCGTTAAGATATTTATGTCGATGGCATTCATATGGAATTGTCTCTATGGGACACCGCCGGACAGGAAGAATTCGATCGTCTCCGTGCGCTATCATACGACGACACACAAGTCATAATGTTATGTTTTAGCGTAAGCTTCTGCCTTGACTTCCATTTCATGGTTTGACGCATTCCGTCCCTTCTTACTAGCTTTCATAAATGTAAAGCAGTTGCTCAGAACGGGTGGTGGAAAATATAGGTTGATAGCAAAGACTCCCTGGAGAACGTCGAATCAAAATGGATGGCTGAAATTGCGGAACATTGCGCTGGCGCCAAAATTGTCCTGGTCGCATTGAAATGCGACTTGAGAGAGGAGGTGGACGAAAAGGAGGACGAGAATGCGGAATCACAACCTCAGGAGAAACCAATCGTCAAATACGATAGGGGACTGGAGGTTGCAAAGAGAATTGGTGCCTTGAGATATTTAGGTATTGTCACTACTTATTTCACAATTTCCCCCCTTGAGGTTAAAGAAAACACATCCACCCGGCGGAAGATAAGGAAAAGAGAAGAGGAAGAAATAAAAAAAAAAATCCCTGCTAATCCGCCCCCTCACTGTGTTACGATAGAATGCTCCGCCATGCGAAATCGCGGTGTCAACGAAGCCTTCACGGAGGCTGCCAGAGTGGCATTGACTGTTAAACCTTCGAGTCGTCCGATAACGCTGGGAAATGCATTATCTTGTGATGCATGTGCTTCGACAAAAAGCGAGGTCTCAGACACTTAACGGCTTTTCTTTCAATCTTATGTAAATATCCCCCAGGCCTTTATTCTCCTTCCAAAGAAACCTCTATTTCTTCCAGTCAGTCCTGATTCATGGCAGCTACGCCTTTTTTTTTTTTTTTTTTTTTTTTTTTTTTTTTTTTTTGACTCCTTTTGTTTCTCTTCAGATACGTCATTGTAATGGAGCAAAAACATGTCAAGGGGGAGTGATACCAGTTTGACTTTTCCTCTATCAATATTCGTTTTGTTTCCTCGTGTACCTTGCTTTCCTGCTCTCTTTTTAACAGCCAAAACCACGTTCGAAATTATTACTTTAATTAATGTTTTGTTTTGTTCTTTTCTATTTATTTTGGTTTCTCTATATGTACTGTACAACAGAGGAACACATTTTAATTGTTTACATTGGTATTTCTGTATTTTGAATTCTCTTGGAAAATATTTATGTATCTATTATCATGTTAACTCAACCTTCGTTTTACTTTGATTCCTTTATTCTCTTTATATTCTACACAAATTTTGTATCTAATACTGCTTCTTTCACTTTTCACTTTTAAAAAACAATAATCAACGAATTGTTGGCATCCCTATTGCGCGCTAGAATCCCACGTGACCACATCTATTTAAGTAGTGCCGCGCCTGTTAGATACTTACAATGAGCTAACCTTCCACCTCCATCATGCTTTATACAGAGATACACTCTCTGAGAAAATTAATAGCTAGTACTTTTTGCAACATTGCATAACATACATTTGATATAAATTTTCTTTTTTCATAATAGTCATCTCTCAAACAATAGTAATTATTAAATCAGAACTTATACTCTATCAGTGTTATGACAGACTAAGAGCGTCTATCTAACTTATGAATGAGTTGATTGTCAAACTTTGTAAGGTCATTTAATCTCCATTATTATATTACATTGTAAATTGCTTTTGAAATTATGGATGCAGGTAAAATGTTAGTCAATTGTAACTACCTAGCGAGCACAGCACCCTTTTATGTAAAACTTCAAGGCATAAATTGCGAACTTAAAGACGACGGTAATTAGAGAAATGGCGGTAAAAGTTGATTGAGCATACACTTGACGTGGATCAAAATCTCGGCTGGAAAACTTTCGGCGTGTGGGAGGCCCCTGAAACGACACACCCGCCGGGAGAAAAAAAACTTTCATCGGGTTCTCAGTTAAAGTTCTTTTGGGGAGGCATCCTCCCTTGACCCGACAAGCGAAGGTTATTAGTCAAAACTTTTGGCCTGAGAACTGGCTGTTTTGAGCCAACAACTCCACCTGTGAAGTCGTACGACCAGCTTTGGTTTGGTTTGATTTGTTCCCGGTAGTTATTTAAAAAAAAAAAAATAAATAAAAAAAAAAAAAATAAAAATAAAAATAAACTGAGTACTTTACTAGGGGGCAGGTTGCCCATATCACCCCCCATTCTAAGGGGGTGGGCAAATGAACTTCTAAATCCCGGGGGATAAAGGCATCTTTAATTCCTTCAGAGAGTTAGAAAGCCTGGCACGACACTCTATAGCAGGAGCTTTATGGAACGTGCAGCTGGGGCGGCACGGAGCAATAAGCTCAGAAAAGCTATTCTCTCAGATATTATATATATCATCATCGATATCTCATTGGTAGATATCATTGCTAGATATCATTGCTAGATATCCTCACTGACATCATCTAGAAGTGGGGTGCTAGAGGCAGGTTGGCCCTAGTAAATGGTATGGACAAAAATGACTTGAATCAATTTGAATGAGAAAATATATATTGGAAAGAAATTGGAGAATCCGGTCCTATTGTAAAACATATAATCTTGTCGGAAGGCTTTACCACTACGCCAAAAAGGATCGATCCTTAAGGTAAGTCATCTATTCCTCAAGAGAGAGATATATATATATTTATATACATACATGATTCACATTACTTGATCTCATTTTACTCTCGCTACTATTGTAAATTAATTTTCCCAATAATTTTAAATGAACTACGATTGGTATAACTATATACTGTCAGGTCAACTGCCCTGGCTTAGTAATCCTTCCACCATATAACTTGCCACGTAGCTAGCAATCCTTCAATCAAGCAAGCTTTACACCTTCCACAGGTTATGAGGCCCGTTTTGCGCACTACGCTGCCAATTCGGGGATTCCTTGCCGATTTAATCCCTATTTAATATTGCTTCATTCGATACGCCCCTTTCGGCGTTAAAATCGTCTTATTCTATCCAAATCGGCGCGTTCTGAAGATCTTGTTTTGATTCGTGCCACTGCTCGCTTAGAAAACAAGCTTGCAGGGTGGAACGCACCACGTTGGAAATTAAACCTCCGATTGGCGAATAGAACGCCACGAAAGCTTATATTGGCAAGGATCTGATCCAAGGTGCCTTTATTTGGAAATCAATACGGAGTATGGCGGATCGATCTAGATCTCGCCCTCATACCCGCTCACAGTCTCGCGTCTTGCCCAGCGGTTCAATTGCTGGCAATGATGATGATGATGTCCCTCCACGCCCGAGCTCTGCTCATGAACGGTCAGAACGCCCGCCTGGTTCATTTGACAGCTCTATTATAGAGCCCTCTAACCCTCCCGAAACGCCCTTCCGATTCGCTGCCGGCCTGAATACGGCTCCTGACACAGTCAGGCCTGCGGCCCGACCTACCCAACCTACCCAATCTACCCGAACCACCCGACAGCTCAGTGAGGCTGGTTCTCATCATGATGAGGCGGCTCGACGTTCTGAGGCCTTGCTTTCCGACGAGGTCTTGTCGGACGTGCAATTGCAACGCCTCATGATGACCTTTGAGATGGAGAAGGAGAGGCGTAAGATCATGGAGGAAAAACGGAAGGCTCTGGAAATCGAGTTAAAACTAGAGGAAATGCGTGCTCGCAGAGCCGCGAATAACCCTCAGAATGCTGATAATAATACACCGACTACTCCTACGGCCCGAACGCACACATGGGACCCGGATCTTGGTGAAAGATTGGAGTATAACCTCTATGATCCGGACAGCCGTGTCGGCAAGGCAATCGCCCAATTCAAAGAAGATGTAAAATCAATGACCAAGCCGAACGCTCTGACCGGCACGTCAAATTTCCTCACATGGAACGCGTCAATGAAGACCAAGCTGGTTGACGCGCAGTGCTGGGGTATAATAGAAAAGCAGCAGGTTCAGAACCCCCTGCAGGACCCCGAATGGGCTCCCTTTTGGGACGCCCGAAACCGTTGGACCTACGCGTTCATTTCGAACTCTTTGGGTGCGAACGTCAGGCCACGTTTCATAAAAAATGATGAGAATAGGATTGCTTACACCCTCTGGCGGGCAATTGAGGAGGAATACTCTATCCCCAAGACCCAGCTCCGCCGAGAGGCAGTCCTAGAATTCACATCGCTTGGTGGCACTCAGGTCACTAACGTGCACAGTTTCTTTGATAAGTTCCGTGCCGCGATCATGAAGTTGGAAATGATGGATGCTCACCCGCCTGACGCGTGGGTATTTGACATATTCTATTCCGCCCTTCCGAACGTTTGGAGGGGTTATGTACAGAAGAAGATTGAGGAGGCCCAAGAGTCCAAATCGACCCCGGTTGTATTGGACGTTCACCTTCTCATGGAGGAGATCCGATCTCGATTGGACCCTCCAAAAGATAAAAAGCCCGCACAATCGGTGAATACAGCTGCCAACGCTGCCCAATCGGGGGCCACAGCAGCTGCCGATTCCGCGAACAATAATAGCGCGAATACATCTAACTCGGCCCGTGGAGGTCGTTCCGGACGCGGTCGTGGCGGCTCCCGCGGCAGTGGCCGTGGTGGAGCTGGCAATCCGCCGACCTGCTCCGAGTGCAATAGATCCCACTTCGGCACTGTCTGTTGGTTTACGAATCCCGACCAGGCGCCCGATGATTGGAAGGCCAATAATGCTACTAAGTTAAAGGAGTTCAAAGAGAAGAAGGAGAAGGCGAAGAAGGATAAGGACAATAGTGGGGGCAAGACCCAGTTAGTGATTACGGACGGGTCAGAGTCCTTTCAGATGGCGAACCTTGCAAAGGTTATAAACGTGCCGGCCTGCTTTGTGGAACCCCACAAGGAGCCCCTAACCATATGGGATAGCGGCGCTGGCTGCCATATCGCGAGCGATAGATCACGATTTTCGACGCTTTTTACGATCGACAGTCCTACGGTCCAGGTGGCCAACAAGGCCGTTCTGAAGGTCCAAGGCGTCGGCATGGCGTCCATCCCAGTCGGCGAGAGGTTGATTGAATTCAATCACGTATACTACGTGCCAGGACTGTCAGCTAACCTCATCTCCGCTGGGCTTATGGAACGCCAGGGCTATATTCGCCGTGATATGCACGTTGACGCTGGAAATTATTTTGAGTTCCTGTCCCCTACTGGCAATGACGTGTTCTATGCCAACCTTTCCCGCAATAATATTTACATCCTATCCGACAGTCCTCCGACGTTTGACGGCGTTATGAATGACCAAGAATATGGGGCGGTCGCGTACGTGGCTGTTCCGAAACCAAAGACAATTTCAACGGATTATGACCCGAACGCAGGGTCCCTAGGGCCGTTCAGCCGTGAGGAGGTTGAGCGATTGATTAACCCCAAGGATCCGGATACGGATTCCTTCGTCATATCCCCACCTAACCGACTCCCTGCCGTGGTCCCGAAGCAACTGCCGTTTGATGAATGGCACCGTAGATTGGGCCATATCGGCGAAAATAATATATTGAAGATGGCCAGGGACCCTCGCTTCGGAATTGCCATTATCGGCCCGAAGAAGTTGTCATTCTGCGCCACGTGCGTCAAAGCCAAGCAGAGGCGCGCTACGTATAATAAGAATTCCGCACCACGCCGTGCCACTCGCAAAGCTCTTAAGATTTGGGTGGATATTTTCGGCGGAGGTGAGACTCTTGGAACCGAAAATGACATATCCTCCTACGCCGGCAAGAAGCTCGCCATGATCATTACGGATGACGCCACACGTATGAGGTGGGTGTTCCTTCTGGAACGCAAGGATGAAACGTTGAAATATCTGCGGATCTTCAACCAATTCATCAAGAATCTGCTGGGCCGCGGCATCGCGATTATACACTCCGATCGTGGCGAATTGAATTCGAACGCGGCTACGGCTTATATGCTCAGTGAGGGAATCAAATGGGAACCGACCCCCCCTCATACCCCGTAACAAGATGGGTTTCCGAACGTTCGATTGGGTTGATCATTGAGAAAGCCCGATCCCTATTAATAGATTCTTCCGCTCCCGAAAAGATGTAGGGTGAGGCGGTTATTGCGGCCACGGAGCTGCTTAACCTTATGCCAACCTCAACCCTTCTATACGGGGGCCCCGAAAATATGAAGCCGATTACCCCATATGAGGCATGGCTTGGAGCGCTCCCGTCGGCCCGTGGAATCCGCCGTTGGGGTTGCAAGGCGTTCCTGAAAATAGTCCCTAAGCCCACGAATAAGATGGCTTCCCGCTCATTAGAGCTAATTTTTGTAGGTTACGATGGCTTTACCAATTACAGGTTGGTTGACCCTTCCAATGGGCGTCTATATATATCCAAAGACGTCATTTTCCAGGAGGATCTTCACCTTATGGATCCGTCGGCCCCAGCCACTGGGCACCCGAAGACCCTACCCACGGCGGCCCGCCAGGCGGCTGCAGCGATTCCTTCGCCGATTCCTTCGCCGACTCCTGGCCCGATTCCTTCAGTTAATGACCTATTCATCGATGAAGAAGTCCAACCCCTCCGTCCGCTATTCCTAGTTCCCACCAATAATTGGTGGATAGACTATGAAATATCAGCGAGAATACCGACCTTTTTGGTGCAGAATACACCGATTTCCCCTAGCCCTCCTATTGAGATTGAGGATACCCCGACAATTACAGGGAATAACGATTCAGTGGGGGAATCTTCAGTGGGGGACGGTTCCGATGATCTGCCTTCCGATCCCGAGATATATGGGTTGCCGATTCCGAAGAATCTCACGCGCGCTAAGGCTTCCCCTGAGTGGAAGTTCTACTATAAGGCCTGCGTTAAAGAGGTTAATCGCTTAAAGCAAATTGGGGCCTGGCGATTAATTGAAAGAACCCCTAATATGGCGGTCCTTCGGGGCCAATGGGTGTTCGACAAAAAGTTCAATAATATGGGCAAAGTAGTCCGCTATAAGGCCCGCTGGGTGGTCTGCGGCAATTATCAACAAAAGGGTGTCAACTATTCGAAGACCTTTGCACCCGTCGTTTCCGCCTCCACGTCCCGGCTCTCATGGCAATCTCGGCATCCCGAGGGTGGCACGTTCTGCAAATCGATATGGTAACCGCGTTCTTGAACGCCCAACTGCCGGCCGACGAACGGATATATATGAGCCAGCCTACGGGCTTCCGTGAAGGTCGTGGCGATCTTGTTTGCGAATTAATGCAGGGACTCTACGGTCTTAAGCAAGCAGCGCTTTTATGGTATGAGGAACTGCGAAAAATGCTATTGCAGTCAGGCTTCCGTGTCAGTCCTTACGATGCTGGACTGTTCATT